TTAGTGGGAAGTGAGGAAAGGCTTCCCTCTCCCTGTGGATAAGATGGTGAAGAATAGTGGGACTTATCCCTAATGTATTTGGCAAATGGAGGGACATTTCCTGCTGATATCTGCTTGTGAATACAGAGTTATGGAGAAACTCTATAAATCGATAAGGACTATAAGTGCTTTATAAGTGGAGAAATCACTGCGCACAGAATCATTTCCCTTCGAAAAACCAGCCGCCTTCCGGACGTTTTCCACCGTATACGTAACTGCTGGACACCACAAGACAATCAGGAGACATAAACTAGTACAAGATATTCCATGCCGGCCATGTCAGCAGAAGCGGGTGGGGTAAATGAGGTCTAGCTGCGGGAGGTCCTCCTCTAGATGTCTCCTTCTTCTCCATTCTTTGCCTGCCATCTGCTCCAAATTTGTTTGACTCAAAAGTGAGAGCTAATAGTTTAATTAACAATAAAAAGACTGGGGGTGGCTATGGAGAGAGAACACGGCCATCCATCACTTCTTCCCCAAAGAGATCATTAAAGCACTTGATAGTAATTTCTACTGTCTGCTCTGACGGCAAGCTTCAAAGACCGAGCCGAGGAAGGCAGCTTGCACCATGTCTGGGGGGTGCCCCTCTCCCGAGGTGGGAGCACACCTAATGGAGTAATAAAAACCTGGCGGTGGGAACTCGAAGTTTCCAGGTTAAGTGCTGATAGCTCTCCATGCCACTTACTTTGCCACTTCAATATTAAAAGAGGATCTTCAGCAAACAGAAACAATTTATTTAAAGAATACCAGTGATGAGGGAGATAGGAAAGCTGCTGTTGCTTTTGAAAATGCTAAATATAAATGAATCTTTTGCACTTAGTGAACTAAGTGTATCAACGGGATGCAGCCTGGAAAAGCCAATCCTCGGAAAGGAGTGTGCAGAAGGGGGGGAGGGTGGGAATGGTGATAAATACTCTGATACACTGGAGAGCAGGGCGGACTGACCATTTGGAAACTCGGGCACATGCCCGTGGGGCCCGGGTCAGTAGGGGGCCCCATGAGATTGCCCCGGGTACCTTTTTTCATAGGCTTTTTTCTTTGTGAGTTTGGGCAAGGACACAGGGGCCCCATGATCCCCTATTGCCTGGGGGGAGCCCCATGAGTTGTCAGTCCGCCCCTGCTGGAGAGTTGGCTTCCTTCCTTCTTCCCAGGAAGGTTCCAGAGCCAGAGGGGCCGCTGATGGATAGTGATGGGCTGAACACCCCATTACCACCACAGACCCAAAAAAAGGAAAAAAACAACTGCTCCGCTCTCTACGCTGGCTCCCGCCATCTGACAGCTGTGCCGGGATGACAGTTCTTTTAAATACTGTGATGATGTCACAGTCAGGGGGTTGGGCCACCATTGGCCCTTTGTGTGCCGTCTTCATGCCCTGTGATTGGCCAAAGCAATTGCACCTGACCTGACCCCTCCACTCTCCATCCTGAAGGATCCTACATGTGCTTGCAGCTGCAGGTGGGAAGGAAAAAGATGGAAGCCAGCAGCACTGTGGGGATGGGGGCACACGGGGGGGGGGGAGGGGCCTGGGGAAGCAGGGGGAAACATATGGTGCACAGGTGGGGTGATGGGTGCAGTGGGGCTGGAGCAAGGGCGGACTGACCATTTGCCCGTGGGTCCGGGGTCAGTAGGGGGCCCCATGAGATGCCCTTGGTACCTTTTTCATAGGCTTTTTGAGTTTGGACACAGGGGCCCCCTCCCCCATGATCCCCTAGACTGCCCGAGGGCCCCATGAGTTGTCAGTCCGCCCCTGCTGGAGAGTTGGCTTCCTTCCTTCTTCCCAGGAAGGTTCCAGAGCCAGAGGGCCACTGATGGATAGTGATGGGCTGAACACCCCCCCTGTTCGATTCACAGCCAAACATTCGAACCTAACGAAAGTTTCGACCACGAAATTCGAACAGGGGGGACAATTCACATCTGAGTATGCAGCAAGATACCCACAGCTGCTAAAAACATTCTTTAATGCTTTCGGCTATCAGCGGGGTTCCCTGCTGACAGCTGAATGTAAAAAGAACTGCTGGCAGTGCCCGGCCAATTAAAAATTTTTTTTTTCAATGCATGGGGTTCTCCCTCCCCCATCCATACCAAGCCCTTTGGCTCTGGTATGGATTTAGACGGGAACCCCCATGCCAAAATGTAAAAAAAAAATTTTATGGCGTGGGGGTCCCCCCCAAAATCCATACCAGACTCTTTTCCAAGCATGCAGCCTGACAGGTCAGGAAGGGGGGGCGAACAAGCAAGTGCCCCGCCCCGAACCATACCAGGTCACATGCTCTCAACATGGGGGAGGAGTGCTTTGGGGTAGAACACCTTGTCCCATGTTGATGGGGACAAGGACCCTTCCCCATAACCGTGGCCGGTGGTTGTGGGGGTCTGCAGGTGGGGTTCTTATCGGAATCTAGAAGCCCCCTTTAACAAAGAGCCCCCCAGATCCCAGCTTCCACATGTGAATGAGTATGGGGGTACATGGTACCCCGCACTTATTCACAAGAAAAAAAAAGTGTAGTGTAAAAAATGACAGGAGGCAGTCTTGACAAGTCGTTTATTAAAAAACAAAAATTTTAAAAAAACGTCCCCCGAAAAAAATTTAACGTCAATCACGATGCCCATCACCAACCGCAGACCCCAGCAAAAAAGGAAAAAAACAACTGCTCCGCTCTCTACGCTGCTCCTGCCATCGTACAGTTATTAAATACTGTGATGATGTCACAAGGGGGTTGGGCCACATTGGCCCTTTGTGCCGTCTTCATTCCCACTGTGTTTGGCCAAAGCATTGCACCTGACCCACTCTCCATCCTGAAGGATCCTAACTATGTGCTTGCAGCTGCAGGTGTGAAGGAAAAGATGGAAGCCAGCAGCACTGTGGGGGTGGGGGCACACCGGGGGGAGGGGCCTGGGAAGCAGGGGGAAACATATGGTGCACAAGGTGGGGTGATGGGTGCAGTGGGGCGGGAGCAGGGGGCGGACTGACCATTTGGAAACTCGGGCACTGCCCCGAGGGCCCGGGTCAGTAGGGGGCCCCATGAAATGGCCCCTGGTACTTTTTTCATAGGCTTTTTTAAGTTTGGGGCAAGGGCCCCATGATCTCCTATTGCCTGGGGGCCCCATGAGTTGTCAGTCGGCCCCTGGGCGGGAGCAATTACTGGAACTGATACCCTGTATGGCAGAAAAAAGCCAGCTTTCAGCTGCTGTCAGACTCATCCACCTTGCCAAATGTTCAGAAGTCTGCTACCAACCTCTCTGCTCAATCCCTCCGTCCACTCATGTCCTCCACTCAGTGTCCTCCATACCCCCTCTGCCAATCCCTCCTACTGACCTCCACTCAGATGTCCTTCATCCCTCTCGGCCAATCCCCTCCACAGACCCTCCACTCAGTGTCCTTCATCCCTCTCGGCCAATCCCTCCACTGACCGACCACTCAGTGTCCTCCCCACCCCCTCTCTGCCAACTCCCTCCACTGACCTCCACACTCAAATGTCCTCCATCCCCCTCTGCCAAATCCCCCACTCACCTCCACTCAGTGTCCTCCACCCCTCTCTGCCAATCCCTCCACTGACCTCACTCATTGTCCTCCACCCCTCTCTCAGCCAATTCCTCCACTGACCTCCACTCAGTGACCGTTCCATCTCATCTCTGCCAATCCCTCCCACTGACCTCCACTCAGTGTCCTCCATCCCCTCTCTGCCAATCCCTCCACTGCCTCCACTCAAGTGTCCTCCACTCCTCTCTGCCAATCCCTCCCTCCACTCAGGCCTCCACTCTCCACTGACCTCCCCTCATGTCCTCCACTCCTCCTCTCTGCCAATCCCATCCACTGACCTCCACTCAGTGTCCTCCACCCCTCTCTGCCAATTCCCTCCACTGCCTCCACACAGTGTCCTCCACCCCTCTCTGCCAATACCCACCACTGACCTCTACTCAATGTCCTCCATGCCCTCTCGGGCCAATCCCTCCACTGACCTCCACTCAGTGTCCTCCACCCCTCTCTCTGCCATTCCTCCACTGGACCTCCACTCAGTATCCTCCATCCCTCACTGTCACCGCAATCCCTCCACTGACCTCCACTCAGTGTCCTCCACCCCTCTCTGCCAATCCCGTCCACTGACCTTCACATCAGGTGTCCTCCACACCCCTCTCTGCCAATCCCATCCACTGACCATACACTCCAGTTCCTCCATCCCTCTCTGCAAATCCCTCCACTGACCTCCACCTCAGTGTCCCTCGCATCCCTCTCTGCCAATCCCTCCACTGGCCTCCACTCAGGTGTCCTCCACTCCTCTCTGCCAATCCCTCCACTGGCCTCCACTCAGTGTCCTACCACCCCTCTCTCTGCCATTCCCTCCACTGGCCTCCATTCAGTGTCCTCCTCTCTGCCAATCCCGCCACTGACCTCCACTCAGTGTCCTTCCATCCCCTCTCTGCCAATCCCCTCTACTGACCTCCATTCAGTGTCCTACCATCCCTCTCTGCCAATCCCTCACAGACCTCTATTCAGTGTCCTCCATCCCTCTCTGCCAATCCCTCCACTGACCTCCACTCAGTGTCCTCCATCCCTCTCTGCTGCCAATCCCTCCACTGACCTCCACATCAGTGTCCTCCACCCCTCTCTACCAATCCCTCCACTGGCCTCCACTCAGTGTCCCCACCCCTCTCTGCCATTCCCTCCACTGGCCTCCATTCAGTGTCCTCCTCTCTGCCATCCCTCCGACTGACCTCCACACATGTGTCCTCCATCCCTCTCTGCAATCCCTCCACTGACCGTCCATTCAGTGACCTATCCTCCATCCCTCTCTGCCAATCCCTCCACTGACCTCCACTCAGTGTCCTCCATCCCTCTCTGCCAATCCCTCCACTGAACCTCTCACTCAGTGTCCTCCATCCCTCTCTGCCAATCCCTCCACTGACCTCCACTCAGGAGTCCCTCCCCCCTCTCTACCAATCCCTCCACTGGCTAACAACGACTCACAAAGCCATCCACAATTCCTGCCCCCAGCTACATCCCCAACCTGTCCCAAAATATCAACCAAACTGCTCTCTTCCTCTCCCAAGACCTTCTTCTCTCTAGTTCCCATGTCCAACCTCCATCCCACTACTCCCAAGCTTCTCCCATCCTATGGAACTCCCTACCCCAATCCTAGTCCAGCTGTCACCTAATCTAAACCACCTTTATACGATCCCTGAAAATCTTTCTCTATAAAGAAGCCTATCCTGCTTCTACCTAGTAAACTGCCATTTATTTCCTCCATCAGCCCCATCCCCCCCACAGCTATTCCTTTGAGGATCACTCAACCCTTCCTCCTAATTGTAAAGCTCTCCCAGATCAGGGCCCACTGTGTTCCTCGTTGTACCAAATTGTAATTGTAACTGTCATGTCTGCCTTCATTTGTACAGCGCATGCAAAAAACTGTTGGCGTCCATATAAATCCTGTATAATAATAATAATCTATAAACCACCAACTAAACAGTACAAAGATACCCTGAGACATAAAGACCACTAATCACAGGCAAAGTCCATCCAGATACATACCCACGATAGATAGGATCAGAAAATATGTTGGTGACCATCCAAGCAGGGGTGTATTTACCACAAGGCAAACAAGGCACTTGCCTAGGGAGGCATTTTTCAGGGGGCACCACCTCCCCCCCCAGAAAAAGGATAAAAGAAGGGGACACATGCTCCATGGGAACTTGTGACGGAGTCTAACACAAGGCAAACAAGGCACTTGCCTAGGGCGAGCATTTTTCAGGGGGCACCACCTCCCCCCCAGAAGAAAGGATAAAAGAAGGGACACACACATGCTCCATGGGAACTGTGACGGGAGTCTAAACACAAGGCAACAATAGGCACTTGCCTAGGCGGCATTTTTCAGGGGGTGCAGTATCTCCCCCCCCAGAAGAAGAAGGACAAAAGAAGGGACACATGCTCCATGGGAAACTGTGACGAGAGTCGTAACACAAGGCAAACAAGGCACTTGCCTAGGGTGGCATTTTTCAGGGGGGCAACCCCCCCCCCAGAGGAAGGGATAAAAGAAGGGACAAAACGAAGGGACACATGCTCCACATGGGAACTGTGTACGGGAGTCTAACACAAGCAAAACAAAGGGCAGTTGCCTATGGTGGCATTTTATCAGGGGGCAGTATCTCCCCCCAGTAGAAGGGACAAAAGAAGGACCCACATGCTCCATACGGAACTGTGATGGGCAGTCTAACAGAAAGGCAAACAAGGCACTTGCCTAGGGCGGCATTTTTTCAGGTGGGGTCAGCACCTCCCCCCCAGAAGAAGGGATAAAAGAAGGACACATGGTCCCATGGGAACCAAGTGGGATCCAAGAGAGGCTGCGGGCCAGCTTTAATGGTAGAATGTAGAGCCTAGAATCTACTCGGGATATCCGGAGATGTTGGTCAATGCCAGGCTCTCTCCATGAGAGGGATAATGGGGGGGGGGTTGGGGTTGTATTGGTCGGTGTCCATGGGGGTAGAAACGATTTGATTGTGTTGCCTAAATACACCAATGCATCCAAGGTAGTGGTCCAAAGATCATAGTGAAGTGGAAATCAAATATAGGGGGGAGGGGAAGGAATGGCAGCAGCATCCCCGAACTCCCCTCTGCTGGTTACAATGTAACAGATTCTGACTGTTTTGTACATTGAGATCATTTTTGTTCTTTTCTGGAACATCCAGCATCCTACGTGTCCACTCCCACCGCTCCCACATGCCATAATGTACGGAGCCATAAATCTCACCCACCTAATAAATCACCGTCGCTGGCAGGTGCTGGAGATGTAAATGGCTCACCTGCTGCCGATAGACTGCAGGGAGACCGGATCCTCCACCTGCCCTGAATTATTCACGCTCCCCAGCAGCTACAGATTCAGCGGCTGCCGAGGCGGAGAGGGAAGGGGAACCACCGGCGAGATCCTACAAACCCGTCACGCCTGACGCCTTCTATCCACGCTGCAAACCAGCCGAATTCCATCCATTTCCCATCATGTATTCTGATGTACGGACGACAATGCGACTGAAATCGGCTCCAAACGTTATTCGAGTCGCTATAAACCCTGAATGTTAGAGGAGATTTACAATTCCCTAAGTCCCCGTATATCATAAATGACCTACCTGGGACCAGCCGGCATTGGACGACGGAAATATATAATAAGGCAATGCCTGGATTCTTATTACGGGGATCGGGGCCCCTTTCTTGGGGATCTTTCTCCAGGGCTGCTGTTAGAAACCACGGACCCCCATACAGCCAGCCTGACAGGGCCCCCCAAACCACAGGGCCCCATACAGCCAACCTAACAAAGCCCCCAAACAACGGGTCCCCAACACAGCCAACCTTACAGGGCCACCCAAACCACGGGGCCCCCACAACGGCCAACCCTGACAGGGCCACCCAAACCACGGGGAACCATATGGCCAACCTGACAGGGCCCCCCAAACCACGGGAACCCACACAACCCCCCCCCCCCCCCCCCAACAGCCACCAGCCCCAGGGATGGTTATGGGTGCACCGGGGGGGCAATTACTGAAACTGATCCCCTGTATGGCTAATCTGCACACTTACCCCCCCCCCCCCCCAAGCATACATTCCCTTTGCAAACCACAAACAAAAAATTGCCCCTTTTCCCATACAAAATTCCCCCTCCCCATGCTGAAATCCCCAACCCAGCACAAATCTTTGCCCTCGCCATCCCCCTCCAAGCTCAAATCCTCTCACCCCCAAAATTCCCCCTCCTAGCACACATATCCTCTACCCCCCCGATCAAATTCCCCTCTGAACCAATAAATTCCCCCCCCCCCCCCCAATCCCCTCTCCCAGCACAAATCTATGGCCGCTCATATTTCTCCTCTCTACTCCCCCCCCCCCAAATCCTCCTTTCCCAGCAGAAACACACTCCCCCCTTAAAACCTCCTCTCCCAGCACAAATCCTCCAACCAGATCCCCCTTCCTAATGCAAATCCCCCTCCTAGCATAAATCCTCTACCCCTCAAATTTCCCCTCCTGAGCACAAATCCCCCCCCCCCAAAAAAAAAATCATCCTCTCCCAACACAAATCCTCTTCCCAGTTCCCCCTTTCCTAATGCAAATCCCCTCTCCTAGCACAAATCTATATCTCTCAAATTTTCCCTCTAAGCATAAATCTCCCCCCCCCCCCTCAAATCCTCCTCTCCCCAGCACAAATCCTCTCCCCAGACCCCCCTTCATAATGCAAATCCCTTCTCCTAGCATAAATCCTCTAACCCTCAAATTTCCCCTCTGAGCATAAATCACCCCCCCCCCCACCCAAAGCATCCTCTTCCAGCACAAAATCCTCCAACCAGATCCCCCTTCCTAATGCAATTCGCCTCTCCTAGCAAAAACTATAACCCTAAAATTTCCTCTCGGAGTATAAAACCTATCCCCCCCCCCCTTCCCCAAATCATACTCTCCCAGCACAAATCCTCCCCCCAGATCCCCCTTCCTAATGCAAACCCCCTCTCCTAGTATAAAAATCTCTTCTAGCACAAATCATCTTTCCCCATCCCCCCCTCCCAGCACAAATCCCCCCATATCATCCCTTCTAGCAAATCCCCCCCAAATTCCTCCATATCCTCCTTGCCTATCCCACCTTCACATGATACCACAGTGCCCAGGGGCGGCCACCCCTCCAGCCCACCGAGCCCTGCCCATATGGAAGAAAAAATATATTTGAAATATATTTTAAAAATATTCTTCCCAAATATATTGCCATATATTTGAA